CTTGTTGAGGCGACAATTCATACAAACCAGCATGAGCCCATGTGCGGTACCGGCGCTATTAGTGCCCAAGAAAGATGGAACGTGGCGTATGTGTGTCGACAGTCGATCCATCAATAAAATCACAGTGAAATACCTGTTTCCCGTACCCCGAATTGAGGAACTGCTGGACCGACTCTCGGGCTCCTCTGTTTTCACCAAACTCGATTTGTGAAGTGGGTACCATCAGATTCGCATACGCCCCGGGGATGAATGGAAGACTGCGTTCAAGATGCCACATGGTTTGTACGAGTGGAAGCTTATCTCGTTCGGCCTTTGTAATGCACCCTCCACCTTCATGCGGATGATGAATGAGATTTTGAAACCGCACTTGGGAAAATTCTGCATTGTTTATTTTGATGATATTCTCGTCTACAGTGATTGTTGGGAAACCCACTTACAACATTTGCAGAGTCTCTTTGAAATACTTAAGCAGCAGCGATTATTTCTTAATCTTCCTAAATGTGAGCTGGTTGTTCCTCAGGTACATTTTCTTGGGTTTGTTATTTCAATAGATGGAGTTCATATGGATCCACAGAAAGTTGCTGTTGTGCGTGACTGGCCGCCACCCACGTCCTTCTTTGAGATAAGGAGCTTCCATGGTATGGCGAATTTTTATCGAAAATTCATCAAAGGCTTTAGCATTATGATGGCACCCGTGACAGACTGCTTGAAGTCCAAGTCGTTCCATTGGGGCGAGGCCCAACAGTGAAGTTTTGAAGCTATTAAACATGCACTGATATTAGCCCCTGTCCTTGCACTTCCAAATTTCGATAAAGTATTTACAGTTGAGACGGACGCTTCAGCTATTGGGATTGGAGCTGTGCTCTCGCAAGAAGGAAGGCCAATAGCATTTTTCAGCGAAAAACTGAGTGAAGCACGGCAGAAATGGTCTGCCTATGAGCAGGAGCTTTATGCCATCATCCGTTCTTTAAAACAGTGGAAAATATATTTATTACACCAGGACTTTGTGCTGTGCAGCGACAACAAAGCCTTACAGTTTCTCAATAGCCAGAAATCTGTGAATCGAATGCATGCTATGTCACGACCCGACCCGATCTGGGACGGATCCCGCTCGCACCGGGTCGCGACACGGAACGAACAGACTGACTGACCAGGATCTGGTTATGGAATTTGGTTCGGAATTGAATCTTCCAAATAATTTAACTCAAACAGACACACAAACACAGAGCTACTATGAATCATCAAACACAGCGGAACAAAACATCTATTTTTTCTTTTCCTCAAAACAATCATTTACAAATACAGTACATGGCTTTTAACCAGAAAGAAAGACAGAACAGAAAAGCCATGATTGTACAAAAATCAAAAGTACAAAATAATACCTATACTGATCAGACTCTGAAATCTAATCCTGGACTTCTTTCCCTTTCCCAGAACCTGAAAACCACCAGAAAACAAGAGTGAGCTCAACGGCTCAACAAAGCAACAAACCTCCAATCAAAATTCTCAGAATCTCAAAACCAAACACATCAGACAAATCCGTACAGAAATCAGAACAGAATCAGACAGATCAGAACGAAACAGATCAGACATATCAAATCAGAAACGGAATCGTACAGAAATCAGAAATTCAGATCATATCGAAACAGAACATAATCGTATCAGAATTATATCAGAATCATATCACACAGATCAGAATCAGTTTCATATCGTACGGAAGTCAGAATCAGATTTGCTTACAGAACAGATACGGAAATCAGAATCATATCAAATCAGATATCATATATTTAATTAATAGCTAAACTAAACTAAACAGAATCACTACGGATTCTGACCCTTATGTCTCCCTTGTGCTCACGGCACCAGAAATTCTCTGAGTAATTAATAGCTAAATGTACTAAATGTGCTCACGGCACCAGAACAACAGAATTCATCGGATCCGGAACAGAACAGATATTTCTCCAACTTGAGCTCATCTAAATTTTTCCCATACACTAACTGAATCTCATAGGATCCAGGCCCCTTATAACTCCCTTTTTATAGCATATACAGATAGCATATCAATTCAGAAGAAATCCGGACAAATCAGAAATCAGACAAAAATCGGACAGCACAACGGCAGTATACGGAATTTACACAATTTTTCCTGAAAATCACAATTTACCAAATTTGCACAGAATATAGATAA